TCTGTTTTTCTTCCAGAGTCACCTTATTTTGGTGACTCGGCGAAATGTCAATCGAAAAGGATTATCGGTAAAGCTCATCTCATATATGAGAAATTCAGTTCAATAATAGTACAAGTAGAATGGGTTATTCTTTCCCAACCTCCTCATACTTCCTAACCGGTAGCACTCTCAACATTCACTTCAGATATCGAATTGACTAATTATCAGCGTTTTTATAAAACGCTGATATAAAAGTTACTTTCATTTCTAGTATTTCTTGGTAGTGTCATAGACTGTTATGAATTTTAATTTATTTTGAAAAATATACACGGTAACCTCTAAAATGCACAAAGGCATTATTTCAAATTCCACAAATGTATTTATGCAAGAATGTAGCAAAACTCCTGATTGCTGTTTGGTGAAATAAAAACGTTTCGAGCCAGTGTAGACATTCACCAGATACATATTTCATATCATATACTGGAATCAATATAAGCAAGATACATTCTCAACTACTGCATCTTATTAAAAATCTCACTAAGATTCCTGAAGATATAGGTATGTGAAAGAGTATAATTTAGACATGACTGTTTCACAATGATTTTTTCATATGAGTCGTCAACTTGCACACCCACTATATTTATAGAAGTAGCCGAACTATCAATAGAACGTTGTCCAGTGTCGAATGTCAGAAGTTGCCATCTGTTTTCATTTTTCTTCGATAAGATGAGGATGGCGTATGTCATAAAGTCATCAGTTTTCATTACTGAGGTACATAATGAAGAGGACTGGGTCAATTACCGACCCCTGTGGTACCGACTAGGTTTATTTGCAAAAAAAACGATATTGTGTTACAAATATAATTTTTGGTGAAGTGTTGCAGTGCGAATATTTGTTTTCCATTCAATAAAAAACCCGATATCAACTTAGTGGTACACCGTTTTTCATTGTTTGCATTGGTGAAGATTCATGTTTTGACTGAACTAATCATTGGAAAACGTGTTGTTATTAGATTTCATCAATCTGTTGATTTCATTTATTTTATTTGCCGATGTTTTTCAAAAAACCAAAGCTTTTCAATGCTGTATAGATGTATGTTTTCAACTCATGTTCATCATTTAGCACGTGCGCTAACCACAAATTGTTTTTGAAGTGATGTCATCATATTACAATTTCGTATAATTTTAAAATGTTCAATTCAAAAGGAATGTACAAAGTAACAGTCCACTTTCAATTAAAAATCACACAATTATACAAACAATTGATATTTTTGGCAGGCAGTACATAGAATTCGTTCTAGAACATTTATGTTGGATGACATGTATAAGGAACACTTGGCACACTTAAAATAAAATAATGTGAAAATAATTTCATATAGGTTATAATATTTCAATCATTAGATTTACGTAACTATTACGTAAGGACACATTGTGAAATTAATTTAAGACCAGTAGATAATGTGATATTGTAAAATTATTCGAAGACACTCTCGACGTAAGTACCTAGAACAGGTATCTATGGTATAAATAAGGATAGCTTTCTAAGTATGATTAGTTTGGTCCTTCTCTTGAAGATGATCACTTGGTGATCGAAACACGTGTCGAGGTGTTAAAATAACGGTTTGGTGTTGGGGAAAAACTCCAGTAATATTCATTACTACACCAAAGTACTTGTATAGTAATATTGAAATTTGTGACCTGAATTGTTCAGAGAGCACTGTTCTTTTGAATTAATTCAATGAGTTGAACCTAATGGAAATAATTTTTCAAAATCAGAAAAAAAAATTAATCAGATTTATTTATCGCAAGAGACATCAATTTTATATATGAAGGTAGCCTGGTGGGTTGACGTGGGTGGTCAGCTCCACTCAGTCAGTCGACCGATGCGCGAACTGGTGTTTCAAACCACAAAGCCGGACGAACGATTTTCAATTCCTATCGTCCAATCCGTTTTAGGAATCACACGTTATAAGGTAAGACCTCGTTAGTCCTTAGCTCACTCAAGTTTTGACTTTAGATAATTTTCGTTCGTAGGGGTCGGCAGTTGGTTAACGGAAAAACATCCAGAAGTCAGTAAGTTGAGAAAATCATCCATATCTCATTTTACAGTTAAGATAATTACCAACTTAGAAATGTTATTTGCAAAAGTTGCAAAAGTTTAATGTTACCTGGCAGACCAAGAGAAATCAACTACTGTTGGGAAGTCACCCGATAGCTTAGCAAATTTTCAACCATTTTTCGATAATCTCTAAAATTCATTTTCAGCCGTGTAACGGAAGATCCGCCACTGGATCGTCCTTTCTTCCGAACATTTATAACAATTTCCGCATATTATTTCCGACGTACGATCCGAGGCATTTCGAAACCGGACAAATAATTCAATTCCGTTCACAGTTTGACGCCCGATTACGGGCCGAGTAATTGAAACCCCGCAAATAATTAGACTGTCACTTGTCTTGGTAGGTGGGTGTCGGCGCCAATCCGACGGGAAACCCGCCGAAAAGCCTTAGTACAGAGACGTGCGCGAAGAAGATGAATATTCATACTATAAATAAAAAAAAATGTGTACTCCGTTTGTTGGATTTTATACCATCTTCCTGATGCAACTTTACACAAGTACGAGTTGAATATACTTCCATAGAGTAAATTTGGCTGCCTTCTGTTGATAACTTTGTTTGCGCTGTTTTCTGAAACTATTTTTGCCTGCCCCTGCACTTACACCGCTGAACGCCAGTAAGCCAAAAACGCCTATTTGCTGTTTGCATGTTGAGAGATCTGTCCACCAATTCATGACAAACTCACCCGTAAAACCATCATTATATTATATCATATACCCAGAAGTAAAGCAAGTAGCTAAAGTTGACTATTTGGAGATTTCATCTGATGCCTCTAAGCTTCTTTTGCCGACTTCGTACTGTCGTGCTGTTTTCTATAACCGAATATTTCTTTCGCCCATCTTTACATTTCCCTACAGCTTAATAATGGCGGCATCCAATAATCTAGAAACAGGTGTCTGAGATTTTTATTTTTGAGTGCTTTGTTGTGTATTTTTTATTTTTGAATAATATAACACTCATTTGCGATATCACCTCAGCCGCGCTAAGATGGCACTATAATATAATTCCAGAATAGTAGTCACTGAATTAGAACGGATGTACAGGGTGTTAGTGAAGTAATAAAACGTGGAAATCTTCCTTGAGAAGAGTAGGTATCGCAATTTTTTTATTCAAGTTTTTTAAAATTATGAACGATGTGTGTAATCTAAAAAAAGTCATGAATTAGAATTTTCAAACCAAAATTTCAATTTCCACATTGAGATTAATCATATGTTCATGATTTCACCAAGAATCAAGAAAGTCGTTTTAGCAAAAGTGTGCATCTTATATATGTAAAATTGACCGTGGGTGGTCTTTTTTGATTTTCTGTAAAATTCTGCAAATGATCGCAAATAAAACATTAACCAGTACCAAAAAAGCAACTGATCAGCAACTACCGCGACCGGTATGCAATGTCCATACTGGTACCGAGATCCCACATTTTGTCTCCTTTTTTCATAGTATGTCTAATGCATTTTTTCCATGACTCGTTTTGTTACATTTTCTATCGCAGTAGCTAGTAGACCTTTTACCTCATCCATTTAAAAAGTTAAGTTTTCCACTTGGAGGGAGGCGGTGTACAATTATGTTCTTTTCACGAGCCATTCCATCGACAGCATATTTCTTCAACTGAAGTATATTTCTCCAATATTGAGTAATGTCACTTTCAACATATTATTGTCGTATGGTAGGTTTTTTTGAGACAGTCAGTTAATGATATCAACTTTCCGCCAGGCAGTTGTTGGTAACTGCTCCAATTGTCTGCTGTAGTAGGAGGCGTTGTTTATGGCCATGATAGAGTTTGGGTCAAGGTTTAGTAAAATTTTAAAAAACCAACTTTCGAACTTTTCCGCGTACATTTCCTCCTGGTAGTCGCTAGTTTTCTTGGACTCGAAGAGTAACAAGCCATTTTCCATAAAACCCGAATCTTTGCCTATATAAGTTATTATGAGTACCGTCCTTTGCTTTTGATCCTGTTGAGAGGCGTTCAATGAAAGCTTGTCGACAACTTTTTATTTTTGAATCTTTCCATACCTTTGAGACAGTATGGCCCTAATAATCAAGTCTTATCTGAATAATAAATATTTCTACTTCAAGATGATCCTCTCGGATTTTTTCAAAAAACATGAATTAAAAAAGTCAGTACCTACTGAGGCGAATATACATATGAAAATTATGATGAAGATGATTAAATGAAGATCACATATAATTGGTCGAATCAGAAGATGAAACAAGAAGTGACTTACCTTAGAAATTTATATGATATTACAAAATTTACGTTGGAATTGCAGAATATGATAGATGGACCAAAACCCGAGTTGTAGAAATTACAATGCCAATTCTTCGAGTCCTAAACCTTTAAAATATCTCTAAGAATGATTTTATCAATGATCTAATGTCCATAGTGTTACTAGCGAGGACAGTGGTTATTTTCCGGTTGGCATTTTTCAGATTCTAAATTATAGAATCGTCATGAGATAGACCTGTTAATATGTAATCGTGGTAATTCATCGTGGTATTAGTCAAAAAAAAAGTTTCAATACGATATTTATTATCGTATATTGAGTCGTTTAACTGAAAAACCTTCGAAAGGAATTGAGTCTAATATTTTGTAAGTATATCATGTCTTATAAGGAGATGATTATTTCACAATGTGAAGAAATACGACAATTGAAAGAGTTTTATTAGGTTCACTGAAGAACAAAATTATATGAAACCATGAAAATTCGTGAAACTTCAATCGATGAAGCAAACAAAACAATAGGTGATTTGAGTGATGAAAAATGAATTTATTATTGCTAAAACACTTCAAAAATAATATGTTAGTGAAATAATCATCGTTGAATTACCATGGCCACTTCATTCAAACAATTGCTTGATTAAAAAATGGAACATATTCATTAAGATAATATATAAATATACTTATCTGTTCTAAATGAAGTAACAAAACGAAAACACTCAGGCTAGCCACACACTGGCAACTTCTCAATATCCGAGTTCAAATAAGCTAGTCGTTTGAAATTCACCCATTGTTGTTTCAAGCACGTACTAACAACCAAATCATTGCTGAATGTCAACTTCATAATTGATTTTGTCGAGAGTGCATGCGATTATGCACTTGTTTTGCTATTGCCATTGATTAGCATCCATTCATTCATGAAACATTTCATAAATTGATTGACAGTTTAGAAAAACTTCTTATCAAATTTTCTTAATTCTTTCTTGGAAAATGTGAGAATGTTAAAGAGTTTAGAGGGTGATATAAGTGAATACGTAAGGTGAAAATGATACTTCACAATTTACACAACACCAACATTTGATGCTAACAGTTGAGTCGACACACTGTGCCATTTTCTGATCATTCAGAACAATGTTGTTTTTATTAATAAGATTTTTTGTCGATTTCTATAGATTTCAATATATTTAATTTTGTGTGAGATCGTGAGTGTTTTCTATGAGATGATTGACTTAGTTAGAATCTTGTTTATTCAATCTGTAAATTCTACAATGCTCCTTGAATTTCTGATTGAAAGTGCAATTCGACTAGTACTTGAGAAGTTACAAATTGAATAAACAAGATTCCTACTAAGCCAATCATCTCACAATTCCACACACAACTGTACACATTCAACCAAAAAGACAGAGGAGAAAATATACGCATTAAGAACATGCGTACATCTAATAGTGCGGGCTGAACCGCAGAGAACGAACAGGAGAGTAGTGTCCCAATGCCACCAATGTCAATTTTTCGGGCATACACAACGATGCTGCCACACAACAGCGTGTTGCGTGAAATAACGAGAGCGGAGAATGCAAGAAACCGAGGGATACGCCAGCGAAATGCACCAACTGCTTTGAAGGATATCCAGCTAGCTAAAGGTGATGCAGCCGAAAATAAAAATAATGAAAACGACTTAATAAATACACTAATCAAACTCACGACTGAGCAACAAAGGCTCGCGCAAGCGGTAATATCTGCACTACTAAAGGAACCCAGAAGACGTTAATGCCAAAACGAATTCCGAATATGTTAACAGTCGAATCGTGGAACATTAACAGCGCCACAGAAAAAAAGGACGAGTTTATGTAGTTGTTATCACGGCTAGACTTAGACTTCGTGGCAATCCAGGAGACAAGGCTCAGAAACAACCAGAACTTCCGCATGCTAGGCCAAAATACCTACAGGAGCGACAGGCCAGGAGTCCAGTAGCCGCAGATGGTGCGGCTCTCCTAGTAAGGGCAGATCTAGCTCGGCTCGAAGATAGAAAACCCGAACTCCAGCTCGGCAAGGCAGTCGCACTCAGAGTCAACATAAGACGATATGATCAGCTGAGGATCTCCTCGGTTTACCTGCCTCCGCAGGGAAACATACAGAAAGCCGACATAGCAGAAATGTTCCCAGATCACCACACAACAAAAGCCATAGGCGATTTCAAAGCGAAATCGCGCGAATGGAATTGCAAGAATTGAAACGGAAGAGGTAGCTCGCCAGGCTCCTAGAAGAATTTGAGGGCACCGCGGTAGTCGCCCCAGAGGCCCCAACGTTCTACCGAAGGGAAAACCAAGTCCCAGTCATTCTTGACGTCGAAGTAGTGCAAAACATCTCTACATCGGAGATGGAAGTACTAGATGAAGGTTTGTCAGACCACCACCCTATCTTATTCACAGTAGGAATAAGCGAAGGAGAACCAGATGAACCAACAAAGAGAATCATCGACTGAAACAAATTTCAACGTACCGTCCACGATGCGATAGCAGACATTCCTCGCATCGATACGAAGACCGACCTGTACAATACCACAACACAGCTGAAACAGGCGACTATCCAATCCATGTAGGGAAGCGCTCGAGAACTCCCAGCCCCGCGCTTCAATCTGCTGGACCACATCACACCGGAAATAATGGAGCTCGTCAGAAACACAGGACGCCTGAAGAGAATATACCGATGAGCACGCGGGCCAATGGATAAAAGATGCATGCACAGAGCCGGCAGAATCCTGAGGCAACAGCTGCGTGCACTTCGAAACCGATAATGCAGAAAAGCAGATAATTCTGGGAAAGGGCCGTCGAAAACCATGCCCGCCAAAACACAGTGAGCAAGGAGTCGTCTACATGGATCAAGAGAAAGCAGAAGCATTTGCTGACAATTTTGAAAGACAATGTTGAGAAAATGAAAACAGAGTCGAACAGTCGGTACGCAGGATAAGACGACACCGAAGGGACAACGCGCAACCCAGGGCACGTAAGAGGCCTTCCGATTCGGAAAGTGAACAATATACAAGGAAACCCAAAAGACAATAGATAAACTAGAAAATTGAATCAAACAAAAAATACAGAACGATGATCAAACTACTCCAACAGATAAAACAACACAAAGATGGACTGCGTAGGTCACCAAACCAAAAATTTAACAAACAAGTCTTCAAACTCGAAAATAACACAAATAATAAACAGCTATGAAAAAGGAGAAGACAAAACCATAAACGGAGTGTACAGCATACAATGCTCGAACTGAAACAAATTATATATCGGCCAAACCAAGAAAAAATCGATCCAAAGGTACGACGAGCACAAAAAAGCATACATAAACCCAGTAACATATAAATCAAATCTCGCCACACATGCCATACAAAACTAACATAACTTTCCCACACCAGGAAACTCAAACTCATAAAACATCTGGGAAAACATAAACATCCATAAATTCAAAAGTTATAATTTACTTATCGAGGTACAAATACAAGTCGAAACACAACAAGACTCAACATTCAATATACTTCACAAAACAATACACATTCCTAGTAGACGAAGTGAACCTGGAGAGGCACCAACACAAAGAATGTTACCTGATGTAAGCCAGGTATAGGTAAATTTGATGAGACATCCGGATGAAAGAGGAGGACAAATACCTGCCCAAACCCTAATTAATGAAGCATCAGCAAATTCACTAGGACGGTCTAACCATATAAAAGAACAAACAAGAAGATAATATTTTCAGTTTGAGTATTGCCATGAAGATGATAGCACAATCTGCTATTGAAAGCGCTCGCATATAATAATAAGAAGTTATCAAAGCTTACAATCCTTTTTGGGGAAAATGTGTGGACAGAACACTCCAAATATGGAGGCAAACCGCGGACACGTGTTTCTGGCTATTGGCCTTATCAGCGCGGTGCAGCCAATTGCAAAGATGGATAACAACTGGTTACCAAAAATGAAAAACTTCACATATGCACAGTGTCACCAACAGCTAACCGCACATTTGTGGTTTCAATTAGAAGGCCTAGCATTCCATTTTTTGAGTGCTCTGTCCACAAATTTTTCCCTTTTTGATGTATATCATACACACTCAATAACATCTTTATATCTGTATTTATATCCTGGACCCCGAAGTCACGCAGGTAGCTATAGCTGCCTACGTGGTGATGTTAGATGATGCCTGGGAATGCTGGGTCTTCTAATTGAAACCACAAATGTGCGGTTGGCTCCTGTTGGTGACACCGTGTATATGTGATGTTTTTTTTTTCCATTTTTGGTAACCAGTTGTTGTCCACCTTTGCAATTGGCTGCACCGCGCTGATGAGGCCAATAGCCAGAAACACGTGTCCGC